AGAGATATATATTATATATATAATGAAAAAGCTCTTGGAAGTATTTCCAATGAGTTCCCTCTCTAAAGCAGCAGCAAAATCCCAACCCAAATGTTTGAAGCAGTCTGAAAGCCTTTTCTTTCCCCCCCAAGGAAAGGAGTATTTCCTTGATGTGTGCTGACCAACACGTTTGGAACAATTAATTCCAGTTTCACTGCCCCCCTGATGGACTTTTGCAGCTCCAAATATCATCTGCAGGACAATAGGTGGCTGGATTATGATGGTAAATAAAAGTCAGCAGGTTGTTTAAGGTGCTCTATTCTATTGCAAGATTAGGAAGCAAAAAAAGGAGCCGAGGGGGTGGTTTTGTCTAAAAATACCTCACCCCCAAAAAAATTAAATAATTTTTAGAATGCTGAAATGGTTTGGGATGGGAGGGACCTTGTAGCTCATCCGTGGCAGGGACAGGGACACCTTCCACTGTTCCAGGCTGCTCCAACCCGGCCTTGGACACTCCCAGGGATGCAGGGGCAGCCAGAGCTTCCCTGGGAACCTGTGCCAGGGCCTCCCCCCCTCCCAGGGAAGGGTTTCTATCCCAAATCCAACCCAAACCATCTCCTGGTTTGTTTGGGAGTCCCTTCCCTGGGGGCACCACCCCCCCAGTGCTGAGCTGGGCAGGGAACTGGGAGCACTGGGACTGGGGGGTCAGCACTGGAGCTGCAGGACTGGGTCTGGAGGGAAATGGGACTCGGGAAGTTCCCACGACACAGGGAATGACCTCCCTGGAAACCCTTCCCCTGCCCTCCCCTCACCTACCATTGCTCTTCTTGACGGCCTTCCTGGGGCTCCAGTCCACGGGCACCTGGGCGTGGAAATCCTCCAGCAGCCTCAGGGCTCCCTGCAGGTTGCAGGGCTGGAACATGGTCTGGAATTTGGGATGGAGCGACAGGCGCAGCAGGGTCGAGCTCCGGGCGAAGTTCCCCAGCTCGCTCTGAGGGGCCAGACACACAGACAGGTGAGGGGACACACAGACAGGTGAGAGGACACACAGACAGGTGAGGGGACACACAGACAGGTGAGAGGACACACAGACAGGGCAGAGGACACACAGACAGGTGAGGGGACACACAGACAGGTGAGAGGACACACAGACAGGTGAGGGGACACACAGACAGGGCAGAGGACACACAGACAGGGCAGAGGACACACAGAC